AATATTGGGACAATCTGTGAAATTTGAATACAGACTATAAATTAAATAGTAGCATAGCATTACTATTGGTTTTCCTGAATTTGATCATTATATTGTGGTTCTGTAAGAGAATGTCCTTATTCTCAGGAGATGGGTCCCAAGTATTTAGGGGTAAAGAGTATGATGTCTCAAATTGTTTGGCAAAGAATAATAATAATAATACATGTGGATATGTGTGTGTGTGTGTGTATATATATATATATATAGAGAGAGAGAGAGAGAGAGAGAGAGAGAGAGAGAGATAAATGGATAAAGCAAATGTAACAAAACATTAATAATTGGTGAATATAAAGAATGTGTGGGAGGGGGCGCCTGGGTGGCTCAGTCGGTTAAGCATCCGACTTCAGCTCAGGTCCTGATCTTGTGGTTCGTGAGTTCAAGCCCCGTGTCGGGCTCTGTGCTGACAGAGCCTGGAGCCTGCTTCGGATTCTGTGTGTGTCTCTCTCTCTGCCCCTCCCCTGCTCATGTTCTCTCTCTCTCTCTCTCTCTTTCTCTCTCTCTCTCTCTCAAAAATAAATAAACATTAAAATTTTTTTTTTAATTTAAGAATGTGTGGGGACTTTTTTGCACTCTTCCTCCAATTTTTCTGTAAGGTTGAAATTATTTCAAAATAATAAAGTTAAAAAATCAAATAACAGTCTAAAAGTGTCCTAACATAAAAACGTTTATTCTTTAGAAATCCTATAATACTTAGAAATGAAAGTCACATCAGAAATTTGCACATCAGATGTTCCATGACTGAAGAAGCCAGACACACTTTGAAAACTCTGGTGAGGAGTGTCTGTGAGGTCTGGTTGCCACAGATATGCTAGGAGATTATAGATACCAAACAGACCATTCGAAACCCCAAAAATAATTTAAATAATTTATCTTTTCAATATGTTTATAATTTAAATAATTGAATATGTAAATGTCATCAAATATGCCCCGAGGAAGGTGCCACCTGTTCTGTGCCTGAAATTCCCTTCCCTGTTGTCTCACCCCTCACCCCTATGGCCTAGCTAACCTCTGCTCAGCCCCAACATCACTTCCTCCAGGAAGGCTTCCCTGATTTCCTAAGTGAGGGTTGGCTGTCCCTCCTCCGTACCCCCACAGCACTCTGGAAATGTTACTCCCATTCAACACTGAATGCACTCGAGCCTCTTGTCCATCTCACGAGAGAGAGAGCCATGAGGTCTGGGGCCATGTCTGTTCTGTTCTTGGATGTAACTCTGACACCTGGTAGCACAGTGCCTCAGATGTGAAAGCTCTTAATACACACTTGCTTGATAAATGAATAGGGAATGGTCTGTGAATCTATGGGTTGTGCGATGCGAGGTTGTCAGCACCCCCCCCCCCTCAACCGCTTGGTAGACTTTCTGCATTAAGATCAGTCTTTGTGCAGCGCTTATCTTATTCTCATCTCCTGCCCCTAGAAGCAGGTTTCAGGGCTGTGTTCACTTCTGTCCTGAGGCCAAGCCTGTGCACTGTATGTTCACATTAAACAAAAGCTATTGTTCCCCAAACTCCTCTGCAGTTGACCTGCTACTGGCTTATCCTTGAAAATCAACTCTGAATTTTCCAAAGCAAATATTTGCTCCCTTTCTCTCCCAGAATGCTTCTGGGCTGCCCCACCTCCCTGCCCTCCCTTCACCAGGTGCCCTGCATTCAGGAAGACAGCTCACCCCAGCAGGAGTCCTGCAAGACAGAAGCAAGAAGGCCAGGAAAAACAACATATTCAAAGGCTCTTGTATACATTTATTTTATAAGGCCAAATCATCCTAGAGCAGAAGTAGAAAGGAAACTTTATGTTGCAAAATAACTTGATAATGCACTCGCATCCATATTAGAAATTACGTGGAACTCTCTGCCTGAGGTATTATCCAAAAGATGCTTCCTCCTCTTTCATGCCGAAGACTGGATTTGAACTACGAATGGTACATCAAAGGCAGCGTGTATGCTCTCTGTGGTTACTGAAGCCTAAGTTTTTTTAAAGTAAAAGCAGACCCAACAGTTGCCTCCCTGGTATCCCTGGTGGCTTGCCCACCTATGGACCTCCCTGTTCCACTCCCCTACCCTTCTGTAGACATCTCACAGAACAAAGAAAAGGGAAATTTCATCGCTGAGCTCACTGTCATGCACCACCCTGAAAGCCCAGAAAGTGACTTAAGAAGTTCATTTTCTCACCTATATTAAAGACAAAGATCAGCTGGCCAATTGCTAAGGACCTGGCTCTGGGTTCTAGGGATTTCTTCTTTCTTTTTTAATTTTTATTTAATTTGTTTTTTAAATTTACACCCAAGTTAGTTAGCATATAATGCAACAATGATTTCAGGAGTAGATTCCTTAATGCTAACCCTTCCCCATTTAGCCCATCCCCCCTCCCACACCCCCTCCAGTAACCCTCAGTTTGTTCTCCATATTTATGAGTCTCTTCTCTTTTGTCTCCCTCCCCGTTTTTATATTGTTTTTGCTTCCCTTCCCTTGTGTTCATCTGTTTTGTATCTTAAAGTCCTCATATGAGTGAAGTCATACGATATTTGTCTTTCTCTGACTGACGAATTTCGCTTAGCACAATACCCTCTAGTTCTATCCACATAGTTGCAAATGTTAAGATTTCATTCTTTTTGATTGCTGAGTAATACTCCATTGTATATATATGCACCACGTCTTCTTTATCCATCCATCCATCGATGGACATTTGGGCTCTTTCCATACTTTGGCTATTGTTGATAGTGCTGCTATAAACATTGGGGTGCATTGGGTTCTAGGGATTTCTATGCCTACTGTCCCTGTGGATCTAAAGCTGTGCTTACCTGTGATAGTGTTGAGTTGGGAACAAGGATCTTTCCTTAACTCTTTGGAAGGGCTGATACTGCAGACAAAGCTCCTTTTAACATAGCCTGAGCAGGGAGGAAGTTGGGGTATATCAGCTGAAGAGAGGAAGGAGAGAAGAACCCACTGTCCTTTGATGAAAACATGTGGACTTTCTCTCCCAAGACAAGTATATTAAGCACACACAAAAACCAGTTTATACATGGACTCCTCTGTCCCTCTGCCCAAAATAACCTGTCTATGGATCCCAGGTTAAGAAGCCCAAGCTAAGGGAAGGGTCATACCACAGGTCCTAATCTGTGGGGAATGGAGAAGAATTCAAGAAACCATCATTGTCAGTATCCTGTGAGTCATCAGATGGGGACTGTCCCATAGCACATTCCCAAGCGTGGGCAGAGAAGCCACATGTTTATGGCCACAGGAAAGATAGTGTCAATGGTAGAGGAGGCAGCCTGGGACAGCCTCCAGAAACTCTTCCTGTCTGTGAAAACATAGTTTCTGACTATAAACATCTCCCTGGAATGTATCCTCTTTACTAATTACAGAAGTGCTTATCACACTGAGTTGAAGTTGGCCGTCCAGGCCTCGTCCCTAAAGTCTCCAGGACAGAGGCCATGCTCTACTCACCCTTTTATCTCCAGCCCTCAAGCTGTGCCTGATGCCCTGTACATATTTTTTGAATCGCGTAGATGAATTAATTAGTGAGCTTATTTATTAGGAAAATGGGTGTGTGGGGTGTAGTATTCTATTTCAAGGAGCCTGTGGCATTTCTCCAAGCCCCAAGCCAGAAAATCACTAACTCTTAATCTATCGTGGCCATTGGAAGTGGTTCTAGAACTAGAATATTTGGGGGCGTGATAGAAACCCACCAGAGGGAAAGCAACAAGGCACGACCACAATCAGTTGATGGATTGATAATGTCTTAAGGCAGGATGTATCAAACCTTAAAGTGTGTAGGAATCACTTGGGATGTTGTTAGAAATGCAGGGTTTCAGGTCCCACCTCCAGCCTACTGAATCGAAATCTGCATTTTGACAAGATTCCCAAGGGCTACTGCTGTTGGTTTGCAGATGATACTTTTTTTTTTTTTCATTTAAGCAATCTTTACACCTAGCCTGGGGCTCAAACTCACAAGCCCGAAATCAAGAGTCACACGCTCTACCAAGTGAGCCAGCCAGATACCCTACAGACCATACTTTGAATAGCAAGATTTGAAGGAGTCTCAATGGTTGTATAATCAAACATATACTCCCTAGGGAAACTGAGTCCCAGGAAGAGCCCCTGCCTTTGACTAGGTCAGAGCAAGGTGCTGGTAGAGCTAAGACCAGAACTCAAAGCTTCTGCTTTGAGTAGTGGGTAGTCTCCACTGCCCAATGTGGCAGTGAGCATTTGTGAGACAACATGCTGGGGGAGGAAGATAGAGAAGTCAGGGAGGGCAGCACCCTGGATCTTCTCCAGGTAACCCCCGTCCCTTCCTATTCCTATTTTTAATTGGGGGGGGGGGTGGCCTTCTTTTCTCCATATTTTTTTTTTCTCCTCTAAAAGCTTGGTGTAGATGGGAATGCAAGCTGGTGCATTCCCACCAGCTCTGGAAAACAGTATGGCGGTTCGTCAAAAAATTAAAAATAGAATTACCCTATGACCCAGCAATGGCACTACTAGGTATTTATCCAAGGGATACAGGTGTGCTGTTTCAAAGGGGCACATGCACCCCCATGTTTATAGCAGCACTATCAACAATAGCCAAAGTATGGAAAGAGCCCAAATGTCCATCCACAGATGAATGGATAAAGAAGATGTGATATATATACAATGGAGTATTACTCGGCAATCAAAAAGAATGAAATCTTGACATTTGCAACTATGTGGATGGAACTGGAGGGTATTATGCTGGGTGAAATTAGTCAGAGAAAGACAAATATCATATTTCACTCATATGAGGACTTTAAGACACAGAATAGATGAACATAGGGGAAGGGAAGCAAAAATAATACAAAAACGGGGAGGGAGACAAAACATAAGAGACTCTTAAATATGGAGAACAAACAGAGGGTTACTGAAGGGGTTGTGGGAGGGGGGATGGGCTAAATGGGTAAGGGGCATTAAGGAATCTACTCCTGAAATTGTTGTTGCACTATATGCTAACTTGGGTATAAATTTAAAACATATATTAAAAATAAACAAACAAAAAAACTGGAAATTCAAAATACAAAAAATAAAAAATAAATAAAAAAATAAAAGCTTGGTGTAGAGGTTAAATAAGATATTGCTGGGGCTGGGAAAAATTTGGATTCTTTTCTTACCTCCACCTGACAAAGTAGCAACTATTCGGTACTAATATCATCCACCATTAATATTCGATTAGTATCTATAGTGCTGACACTCCAGGAACAGTGTGACATCATTCCCAAGGTGACATCTTCTAATCTGTCCCCCAAATTCCCTCTCCTCCTGCCGTTCACCCAGAGTTTCTCAACTGGTGAGCTTTGGCAGTATTCATCTCCTAGAATTAAGATCACGAAATAAGATGATGTTAAAATGCACAGTGTGAAAAATAAACAAAATACAATATAATGCACAGTGTGCCCCTCTGACTTTTTTTGAATCAACAAGATTGATTCCTCGGACTATCCAGAGGTAGAAATGATATGAGCAGTGCTTCTCTCCAAATTCTAACAACCTGAACCCTAAAGAAATGATACAGGGGAAAAGTAGAAGCCACAAAACCAGGAGACCTCAGAAGCTATGTAGTCCAGTGTCCCACCCAATGTCTGAATCCCCTCTACTGTGTGCTGCAATGCCAGACTTACCTGGGCCACTTGACTCTTTTGGCCACCCCCATTCCACGTAGATGTCACCGCACAAAAGCAGGCTCCAGGCTATCCCCATTCCACGTAGACGTCGCCGCACAAAAGCAGGCTCCAACATCATTTCACTCAGTCTTACTCCTGAGTCACATCCCAGACACTCCATGCCCTGAATCCCAACTGTCCTATCTTCTTGTTACTCATTACCCCTATTTATGAGCTTGGTTTGTCCTTTGGATCTGATAGTCCACCAAGATAGGACCAGGTCGAAGTGAATTACAATCAAGGAGGAGAGCCAAGGTCATGGCCAGTTAAGGAAGCGCCTTCTATTTTTCTCAAGTCGATCTCCCTCTTAGAGTTTCTATCCGTAGAATTCTAACACAATTATCACTAAACTCCATAAAGTCAGCCTTCTCAGTGTCTAAGATCTGTGTCTGACTGTGCTTAGCTACGTCGCAGTCACTTTCTCCTAGTGTCCCCACCCTTTCCAAGTCTCTAATTAGCCCTTCTGTGCTGAGTAGGGTTCAGATCAGAGGAGCATTTTCCCCATACAGTTCTCAGGAGGCCTTAGGGATACAGTGGCACCCAAGCTTTAGATACTTGTACCGAGGCATCGATGGAGGCTGGGGATCTTCATTTCAATAAGCAGCTCAGGAGATTTTGCCGCAGGTGGGCGGGAGGCCTAACTTGGGAGAAATAGTGATGGGAATTTTGGTGCCAGACACATCAGAGATCAGTTCCTAGCTTCGCAACTTACTGCCTGTGTGACCTTAAACAAATTAGTTTATCTTTAAAAGCCTCGGTTTCCTCCTCTCTTCTATACTTCTGAGTATTAAAACCACAAGGTGAGATGTCTATATGGTGCTTTGTATAATTCAAGGCGGGTACAGAGCATTCAGTAAATACAAGTTAGCATTGCTGTTAGTATAACTGCTTCTTTTATCTTCAGGATAGGGAACGTATTTATTTTTTAATGTTTGTTTATTTTTGTGGCAGAAAGAGTGTGGGCAGGGGAGGGGCAGAGAGAGGAGCCAAAGTGGGCTTTGCACTGACAGCGGTGAGCCCGATGCAGGGCTCGAACTCACCAACTGTGAGCTCATGACCTGAGCCGAACGAAGTTGGATGCTCAACCGACTGAGCCCCCAGGTCCCCCCAGGATAGGGAATGTATTAGCAGGCAATTTATCGCATATCCTTTTTAGCTGACTGAGATTTCTAACAGATGCTGGTGAGTCTTCTGATCACCCTATGACTTCTCCCTATGTCAGCTTTGTGATTCCTCTTGGTAATTCGTCACCATTTCCATGCAGACCCATGGGCCTTGCACTTAGTAGGGGATCACAATTTGCTGAGTATTTTTTAATGAGTGAGTGCCATCTGGCCAGGGCTTCTCACTACACTCCCACGGCAACATCACCTCTGTTGTCACCCTTCTCCAGTGCTCTCCAGCATCTTCTGGACGTTACAGTGCTCGTTTGGTTCCCCATTGCCCCATCACTGAAGAGTACCATCCCACAGATGACTTCTGCCAGTTTGTATTTACTTTGTTGCATTAAGACACCCAGTGCATTTCATCATATATGCTCTATGCATATGTTGCATTTTTAACTAGACCGATAATGAGCGATGAAGCCGGTAAAAGGAGAGTAGTTGAGGCGGTGGGTGGGATGTGCTTTGACAGCCAGGTCATAGACTGTCTTTTTCTTTTCACAGAAGTGTTCAGTATAGTTCTTTGTCACCAAAGAATTCATTCAGGGGAGTTGAGCCTGCACCACGGATAGGCTACATTCCAAGTTCTTGGAACTACATTCCAAGTTCTCCATCAATGAATAAATACACGCAGCAGCCATGCAGAGCACACGTGTGTAACGACAAGGAGAGTGGGGCTCTGGCGTTCGGGTTGGAAGGGTGGCAGAGCATGGGGTTAGGAGCAAAGACTTAGGGAGGGGCCGGTCCTGCCATCGTGCACTGTGTGGGACCCCCGGACAAGTCACATGAGCCCTTCCAGACTCAGTTTCCTCTTCTGTAAAGTGATGGTAATACGAATACCGACCTCATATTGTTGCCCTGAGAACTGATTGCAATAAGGTACATTACACACTTTGTATGGGGTCGGGTACATAGGGCTCGATAAATGGGAGCTCCCAGTGCATCAGTCCCCACCAGTCCCCTGAGCTGGGGCTTCAGTGTGGCTCATAACTGGGAGAAGGAGGAGTGTCTGTTCTGGTTCTTCTTTTGACACCCTGGTTCTCTGGCGTCCTCTTATCTGTTCCTTCGTGTGAGGCTGGGCATTTCCTTGTAGCTCAGCTGATAATGCTAATTGCGGGGAGTTCACGACCTCTCCATCTAGGGTTTCTCAACCTCCAGTCTTGAAGGTACAGTGACTTCCTCGCTTCCCTATTCATGCTTTGTCACCTGAGTTCCTAATTGCTCTTGCACAGCCAGGTACCCCTCCCAGTGGACATGCACACACACAGGGCACATCCGTGCAGACCTGTTCCTCGAACCCCAACCCCTGATCTTGTGGGGTTGCTTTGGGAAGGTTTTACAGACCAATGAATCCTAAATCTGGCCGGTCATTAGATTCACCTGGGATGCTTTTATTTTTTTTAATGGTTATTTATTTATTTTGAGAGAGAGAGAGAGAGAGAGAGAGAGAGAGAGAGAGAGAGAGAGAGAGAGAGAGCGAGCAGGGGAGGGGCAGAGAGAGAAGGAGAGGAAGAATCCCAGGCAGGCCCTGCACGGTCACTGCAGAGCCAACTCAGGGCTCCATCCCACAAACCAGGAGATCATGACCTGAGCCAAAACCAAGAGTCGGATGCTTAACCAAATGAGCCACCCAGGTGGCCCCAACTCACCTGGGACACTTTAGCAAAAGATGCAGCTTCCAGGATCCCAGGCTCAGTCCTTTTGAATGGAAATCTTTGTGGCCAAGAACCACTGTAATAAGAACACCTGGGGTCACACATGTACAAGGAATCACTGCGGAGATCCGTGTTGCCTGGTAAATTAATGGCCGTCAGGTCAAAATGGTCACTCTCTCCTTTACATGGGAAGAACAGAGGAAAGGCTAACATTTTGAGTTTCCCACCTCAAGCTCTTTTCCAGAATGTACCATCAGCCTGCCTTATTAGACTCCGCACCTAGTATTTTGTAAGTGTTCTGGGAGTATTGTCTCCTGCAGGTGCAGTCACTAACCACTGATTTTATTAGGAGAGCGTGCCTTCCAGCTCCCCCTAGCAAACCCCTTTGAGGCGCTCACTTGCCTCCAGCCAGTGCTGTGACCTAGACGTGTTAAGGATCAAGCCTTCCGCGTGTACTGCGTTTGCCTACACCACCTAAGATGCCCGAAGAAGAAGACTACGCTGTATACTGCAGCCCAAGCGAAGTATGGGAGGGCCAGCTCAGCCTCTGGGAAGAAGAAGAGGAAGAAGAAGAAGGAGGCCTATCTTGGTTACGTGGGGAAAATCCTAAAGCAAGTGAGTTGGGGCTCTCCTGATGGAAGCTTAGAATGGCCGAGACCCGTGTCATGTGAGTGGCCCTGGGTGTGTTCTTGACTTCAGCTTTTCTCACACAGGGGTCCTTCTTCACGCCCCAAGTTCCTGAAAAGTTGGGTGCAAACAGCTTCGATAAACTGGATCTGCAGATGGTGGCTATCTTTTCCCACTGGGCTCACTGTCTGTTGGCAGTAACTCTGAACACCTGAGCTCTTCGTGTCTCTCTTGGATCTGTTGACAGGCAATCTAGAAATTGATTCTTAAATGCCCTCTTACAGAGAGAGGATTCACCACCTCGTCTGTTCTTATTCTGTGAAGAGGCACTTACATCAGGTCTTCACTAAGTGGTGCTCTGTACTTCGAATGTACCTAGCATGGGTAGGCTTTTGTTCCTCCTTCCCGCCCACCCAACCTCACTTCGTAGCCTACAGTTGCAGAGAACAAAATCAGAGAAGGCTTTCCCTTTGGAAGAAGCTACGGGGAAGAGAAGAGGGTAATTCTGTGACAGATGTAAGAAGGCTTGATTTTGAATTTTCTCCATGACGATAGGGCAGGGCTGAGTGTTCATGGGTGATGGTTACAAAAGCCCCCTGTATTCCAGGGGTTTCATTTGGACTCTGTTGCTTATCCTAGGAGAAGAAGGGGAAAATGGGATGAAGGAATGCTAGGAGAAGGAAAGAAATATGTGATATAGGGCCTGGTTTCTCAACCCCAGCACTTAACGTTTGGGGGCTGCTTCATTCTTTGTTGTGGGAGCTGTCTGGAGCATGGTGGGATTCTGGGCAGCATCCCTGGCCTCTACCCACTGGATGCCAGTAGCACCCTGTCTTCCAACTGAAAATGCCCAGAGACATTGTCCCCCACTGAGAACCTGCAGCTGGAGAACCTGCATTTTCTGGAAGGGCTCTCTGTGCAAGTTCTTGGACTGAGTAATCCTCTAATCATTAGTCTGTCCTTGGCCTGTCCTTCACTGCGTGGGTCTGGCAGGCCACTCTGCTTCTGCAAGTCTCCCAAGGGTCGGGTCTGTGCCTTGGGTCAGCCCCTCAGGGCATGCGAGGATAAAACATGTTGGTTGGATTAATGTATGGAGCGTCTCGGTAGAAGCCAGGTCTGCTGGGGAGCTCAGATGGAAACGATGTGGTCTGTATCGCAAAGGGGCTCACAAGTCCTGCAGGGTGGGACCACGGAGGACATGGAGAAACCTTTCAAATACTGCTTCAAGCCTTTCCTTTTACAAAAAAAGAAACTGAGGCCCAATGTGAGAATATTACTTGCTTATATGACATCTCATGCCCATCCAGAGCTAGGATTAGAGTCCTGGGTGGGTGATCCTCAGGGCACCTGAGATCATTCTCCTGATGATTCCAGCTGCCCCTCTAACTTTAGACGAAGTCATGAATGACATAAAGTGGCATGTGATGCAGGTTCTGAGAATATACAGAGCCCTAATCTTTAGTGGGAAGTTGTGGAACACAGATAAGCCAGAGGGGTTCTTGGGGAAGAATCCTAAAGGGTGGATAAGCTTTGAAAGGTGGGGTTGGGTGTCAGCATGGTAGGTAGAGATGGGAGATCAACAGTGGTATGGAGACCAGAAAACGTAGGGACACATCCGAGGAAGAGCGAGTTTTCCCAGCGTGGCTGGAGATCATGTCGGCACAAGGAGGTAAGGCTGCAAATTGAGAAGTGTTCAAACAAGATGCTTACTAATACGAAATACAGAGTGTGAACATCTACTCTAAACTTCTATCAGGGCGCCTGGGTGGCTCAGTCGGTGAAGTGTCCAACTCTTGGTTTTGGCTCAGGTCATGATCTCACGGTTCGTGGGTTTGAGCCCTGTGTCAGGTCTACAATGTCAGCACAGAGCCTACGTGGGATTCATGTCCCTCTCTCTCTCTCTCTCTGTCTTTACTTGTTTCTCTCTTGCTCTCAAAATAAATAAGCTTTAAAAGAAAAACAACTCTCACTCTCAAACTTTAAAAAAAACCAAAATTATATTTTCCATCTTCTGAAGGTGTTGGATGTTAATTCCACTTCTGTTAGGAAAAATTAAGGCACAAAAGTTTTTTTCTTTTCTTTTTTTTTAAGAGAGTGTGGGGGGGGAAGAGAGAGAGAATCCTTTTTTTTTTTTTTTTTTAAGTTTATTTCTTTATTTTGAGAGAGAGCATGTGAAAGTGGAGGAGGAGGCAGAGGGAGAGGGGGAGACAGAGAATCCCCAGCAGGCTTTGTACTGTCAGTGAGGAACCCAATGTGGGGCTGGAACTCATGAGTTGTGAGAACATGACCTGGGCTGAAGTCTGACACTTAACTGACTGAGCCACCCAGGTGTCCCAAGAGAGACTTTTTTTTTAATTTTTATGTTTTTATTTTATTTTATTTTTGAGAGAGAGACCGAGTGCAAGCAGGGCAGAGGCAGAGATCGAGGGAGACAGAATCTGAAGCAGGCTCCAGGCTCTGAGCTGTTAGCACAGAGCCCGACGCAGGGCCTCAATTCACGGACTGTGAGATCGTGACCTGAGCCGAAGTCAGATGCCCCCCCCAAGAGAGCGACTCTTAAACAGGCTCCACACTCAGTGCGGGACCTGATGCAGGGCTCGAACCCACCTGGGATGCTGAACTGAGCCACGGTCAACCAACAGAGCCACTCAGGTGCCCTTGAGGCACAAAAGTTTAAGTGACCAGAGTTAGTATGTATTCTACAGATAAAGGTGCTCTTTCTCACCAGCTACAAATTCCCCTTCCCCATCTTCCTCAGACAGTTGATAGATACAATGACCTAGTTTCTTTCCTCACACCCCGACCATCGTACCTGTGGTGATTCGTGTGGCCCCATGTACGCACGAATCCATGGAAGGCGTATGTGCTGGGTTAGACCATAAATTGCCAGCTTTGGGTGCGAAGCCTACACTGCTCTGTCTTACCCTTGTGCCATTTCTGTCCCAGACTCACCCAGACTTCAGTGGGTGCTCCTGGATCTCGGATGCACTGGGCTCTTTGGAGGACTGGCTGCTGGAACGGGTTAGCCTGGAGGTGGTTAGATTGTCCTTCTACAACCACAGAAAAGCCATCACCAGCAGAGAGATCCCTGGAGCAGTTAAACAGATCCTCTTGGAAGAGCTTCTGTATCAATGAAATGTTCTGAATGGCTCTGTCGTTGAGATGATTGTACTCGTCAAAAATAATCAGATATGTCAGAGGGCTGAGTCGGAAGACAAGGTATCAGATAAGGACCTGTTGCAACAGGAGTCTTGGTGCTATATAGGTGGTCTCTGGGTCCTGTGCTTTTAGCCTCTGACTTAATTTGTGGGGAAAAAAATAAAGGCATTTTGTCTTGTATGTGTAATGCTTATTTTGTATGGCTTTAAAATTTTTCTTAGGCATGCTTCTTCCGGCTTGAACTTACCCATTGTCTTTTTGGAGGACACAGCTTAACCCATTATACCATGTACTCACCAACTCCCCCATCTTCAGCCCCAGGGTTAGAGACTGCTGTCCTGGAATGAATGCATGATTTTTTTTTATTTTTATTTTTTTTATTTTTTTTATTTTTTATTTTTTAATTATTTTTTTTTTAATTTTTTATTTTTTTCAACGTTTATTTATTTTTGGGACAGAGAGAGACAGAGCATGAACGGGGGAGGGGCAGAGAGAGAGGGAAACACAGAATTGGAAACAGGCTCCAGGCTCTGAGCCATCCGCCCAGAGCCCGACGCGGGGCTCGAACTCCCGGACCGCGAGATCGTGACCTGGCTGAAGTCGGACGCTTAACCGACTGCGCCACCCAGGCGCCCCGCATGATTTTTTTTTAAAGCCCCTCTACTTAGATTTATAAGAACAACAACGCCAAAAAAAAAAAAAAAAAGTAAAGAGAAAAAGGGTCTGTTTGTTCTTTGAGTATAAGACTCATTGCATTGGTTATCTATGTAGCACTTAGCCTAATAGCATGTGTGTAGTGAGTGTCAAACGTATAAGCTGGTCCTAACTGTAGAAAAACAAAACAATTATAGTAGCATTATAAAAATATAATGATTCAGGAGCAGAAAGAATAAATGGGCTGATATAGTTTAGACGTGATGGTCTGAGTAAGCCTTGGTAGGTGATGTGAAGGAAGAAAGGTGCTAAGCATGGGGAAGGATTCTGGGCTGAGGGAGCAGCCTGAGCAAAGGTCCTGAGGCAGGCAGGCAAGCTGAAGCTTATTAGAGAAAACCAAATGAAAGCCAGGGAAGCTGGGTTCTGGCAAGCAAGGGAGAAGTCTAGTGGGCGAGGAGGTTGGAGAAAAAGACCGGGGCCAAGTCATGCAGAGTTTGATTTTACTCCGAAGATGGTATGAAGCCACTGAAGGATTCTAACAGGGGAACTGACATCTTGTTTAGTTTTGTGGGTTTTGGGGTGTTTTGCCGTTGTTGTTGAATTTTATCCTCCAGTAAAGTGTACACATCTGAACACACCCCAAAGTTTTACATGTATATACCCAGATTAAGATACAGAACATTTCCATCACTGCTGCTGTGTCAAGAATGGATTGAAGAGTGTGCAAATGGGAAGGCTGGTCAGAGATATCTTGTCTGAGTGTAGTAGAGAGATGACTGTGGCCCACGTGAGTGTGGGTGGTTAGTAGAGAGGGGGAGAAGTGAAGGGATTTGAAATGAATCTGAGATAGAATTTGCTAACGGGATGGGGAGGGGGTGAGGAAAAAGTGAGGCTTCCTCGGTTTGGGGCTTGAGCCGTGGGGTGAACTGTGGTGCTGGCTGCAGAGACGAAGACTGGAGGAAGCAGGACAGGTGTTTGGGAAGAGGCGACAGTTGAGAATTCCATTCCGGACACGTTTTCAGCACCAGTGAACACTGCAGATAGAGATGCCGAATGGATAGGACTGGACCAAAGATAGAAGTTTGGGCATCGTCGGTATAAAAGGTGATGTACATGAATCAGAAGGAATGAATGTGATCACCTAGGAAACGGGGTCAAAAGGAAAAGACAAGACTTTTCAAAACCGAGGTTAAAGAAATTCTAGTATTTAGAATCAGATGGTAGAGGACGGACACACCGAGGAGGAGAGATCTGAGAGGTCAGGAGAGGGTGGTGGTATGGAGGCCAAGGGAAGAGAAAGTGGTCTGGTCCACTGTACACAATCCTGGGGACAGTGTGAAAGGGGACACGGAGGGGCACCTGGGTGGCTCAGTCGGTTAAGTGTCCAACTCTTGGCTCAGGTCATGATCTTGAGGTTTGTGAGACCGAGCCCTGCATCGGGTTCTGTGCTGACAGCATGGAGCCTGCTTGGGATTCTCTCTCTCCCTCGCTCTCTGCCCCTTCCCTGCTTTCTCTCTCTCTCTCAAAATAAACTTTAAAAAAAAAAAAAAAGAATACACTTACAAAAAGAGACATGGACATCCAGGGCATTTGGCGACACGGAGATCATAGTGACCTTGAGAAGTCAACTCTCTGGAGCAAGGCAGGGCATCAGGCAGATCTGAGCAGGCAGAAGAACGAATGGAGGTAGCCAGGAGAGACAGCTTTTTGGATGGCATTGAGACATAAGGAGAATTTTAGTGCTGAGAGGGAACAGAGACATGGGCGGGTAGACAGAGGCACTCGGTATGCAGACAGCGGTATTTAAGATGAGCTCAATCGTTTGCTGATGGCAATTCTGCAGGATGGGCTGAGATAGTAAGTCAGAAGAACATAGAAAAAGGCAAAGGGTCCAGGACCTTGAGAAGGAGGGGGCAGGATTCAGAGCGGAAGCAGAAGAGGAAAGAATGAGTAAAAACACTGGTAAGTGTAGAGATTTCATGACCAAAGGGTGAAGAAGGCACCGCATTTTTTCTTTCAGAAGGAAGCCAGTGAGAGTGGAAGAGGGCTGTGAGGGGGTTGATGAAATGAAGCTGTTGTCTAAGGGAGCAGGAGAGTGAGATCTGGGTCCCTGGGGACAGATGGCTCACCAGCAATGAGTGCCTGTGTTCGGCCTGTTATCATGAACCAATGGCAAAGCCCATCTTGCTGTGTGACCTTCTCCAGCCGCTGGTATCTGCTCTGAACCAGGAAGGAGAGAGGCCAGGGAGCAACTCCATGATGGACAATCCAGGCCAGCTAGGAGGGACAGGGGATGAGAGGGGTGAGGACATAGAAGACACAGAAGACATCAGGTCCGTAAACTGAGTTTCAAAGAAGGAATTTCTCTCTCCAGCATGCTTCAGCCTTAGCCCACCCACGAATGCACATGCCTAGGAAGCAGCGGTGACACCCAGTGACCACTCCTTGAAGTGCACCTGCTCCATGAAGGTCCGAAAGCAGCCTTGTATGAAATGATGTGGGGGGTGATCTGCTCCACGTGGGAGCCACTCAAGCCCCACCCCATTCTCTCTGTCATTGTCCCTTGGGGGATTCTGTACCACCAGCCCTGGGCTCTCTATGGGGACAGAGGAGCTGCTGTTCAGGTGGGTAAGTAGAGGTGGACTGTCCGGGCACTGAAGGCAATCTGGAGGCTGTTCGCTCGGACTGGGGCTTCTCTGCTAGGGTCCTGCTGTCCTGGGGATTCAGGACAAGCATCGTAGGACAAGTCTGGGCATTCCCAAAACCATGCGGGGTTTGGACAATGCTGGCTAGTGACACAAGCCTTTTCCAGCCCACGGTTGTCCTGGGGTGGGGGTTGGGGATTGTCAATCCAGCTGATTCAAGAGCTGAGTGAAGACCCCCCTCTCTCTACTACTCTCCAAGAGTTGACTGTCCTCAGGGATCTGAGAGGGCCCAGATGCCTCCCTGACCCAAGCAGTGGGACCTGGCTTCGTCTAGAAGAAAAGCTGGGCTCCTCCCTATCTTCTGTCATCTATCATAGGTAGTGGGGTGACTGCTAGGCCCAGCAGATTCAGGAAGAGCTCTTTGCCTCCCCCTCAACTGCCTAAAAAGAATTGAGAGGAGGACCTGCCAGGAAGAGAGCTATTACCATAGATAACTACACTATGATATGGGGGGATGGGAGCCAGGGAGGCACCCGGCAAGGCCTGTTCGATGGAAGTCCTCAAGGTCCCACTGTTTCTGAGGGGCCCAGACATTGTTTACCAGACATTTATTCTTTTTCATCTTCCTGTGAATTTCCTTCCTTCCATTTATTTATTTATTTATTTAACATTTATTTATATTTGAGAGAGAGACAGACACATGCACACACACACACACACACACACACACACACACACACACAGAATCCAAAGCAGGCTCCAGGTTCTGAGCTGTCAGCACAGAGCCTCATGCAGGGCTCGAACTCACGAACCATGAGATTGTGACTTGAGCCAAAGTCAGACATTTAAGTGACTGAGCCACGCAGGCGCTCATTCCTTCCCTTTAAAGTCCCAGACCCCTACCCCCTTCTCCTCCATTCAGAAATACTTATATACCTCATTTTGCTTAGCCGTCTTTGGTATTTCCATGTCTGTGTGGATTCCCCATAAGTACGAAATGAAATTTGCTTTTACATGTTAGTCTGTCTGATGTCAGTTTGAGTCTCAGTCCAGCCAGGAGGACCTTGAAGGGCAGAGTCAATTCTTCCTCCCTAACAGAGAGCACACGAAATTGGGATAGACTGGCTTTATCTGTTGTAGCCATGGCCAGGGCCATGACAACCTGCCCTGTTCTGATGCCCAGGTCACTGGAGGAACTAGCAGTTTCCTGGTGTGGGTGGTTTGGACTTTGATGCCAGGGAGACTCGAGTCTACTCCCTGCCCTACCACGTGCAAGTTGCAAGAGCTCGGGTAAATCACCTCATCCCTCTGAGTCTGTTTCCTCTCTTGCAAACATGAACATACTGACTTTTCAGGGGTGATGAGAAGGTCAACGGAGATAGGCATGTAAGATGCCTAATCAGTGTCTGGTACATAGTAGGTGCTCAACAAATATTCACTTCTTGCCTTGGCAGAGCACAAGCTTGCACTCACTGGTCAGAATGAAGACTCTTTCCTCCTTATCGCCCTCAGCACCATTTATGACCTGCTGGCTTCTCTTCTCTAACCACCGGGTTCAGTCTTCAATTTGGAAACTCTTGCTATGGCTTGGCATTCAGACTGAGTGAGGAGAGGCCATAGGTAGGGTGCTTGAATTTTGAGGAGCTGGCCAGCAACCATCCTTCTTACCTTTTTTGAGAAAACCCCCTTGCGTGTAGACATATTGGAAGGAAGGGTACTGCTTGTGCCTCACCTCCCGTGTTGGAGACAGAGAGGAGTCCTACTCAGAACTTTGAATCTAGAAGGAAGGGTAAAGTTGAAGAGAGGGTCACAATCATTTCAGGGCCAATTGCACCCAGCCCCTGGAGCCCCTGTGGTACCTGTCCATTTCCTAATCTGGGTCTTCAGTTTCCTGCTGATTCTGTGGGCACCCCATGTCATTTCAACAAGTCCCCTTCCCACATGGTATAATCACTTTCTATAGCTTGCAAGTAAGAACACTGAGTGCTCATCTCAGGTCAGTCCAGGGAGACTTGAGGGGCATGGGCTTGGTAGAATGATGGGAGACAGCTGGCTAGTAAATGCACTGGCACAGCCATAGTACTATTCTGTCCTCCCTGCAGCTGACTAATGGATAGTTAATGGGGCATTTACACCACGTGTTTGTTTGTTTGAGCCTTATAGGGGAGGAAAAATAATTTTCCCTCTACCCTTGTAGGTTCTTAGCTGAGACCCTCATGCAATGAAAAGATTAACAGAAAAACAAACAGAAGCTTAATAACATGTATACCTCCTGTACACATGGGAGACTCCCAGGAAAATGGAATAACTCCCTGAACCGGCCCAAGCCACCACCTGAAATACCACCTCCAGCTAAAGACAAAAGAAAGGTGTTGGAGGAGGTGGGGCCAGGCCAGTTATGGGAAGTTGGGGGTGGGGGTGGGGGGGGACAGGGGGAAGCACAGGAAACAAGGGTATGTTATGCAAATTTAAGCTGGTGCCTTCCCCACTGGTAAGAGTTTCTATCGATTTAGGATTATCTTCTCTTTCTGGGACAGGGAGAACAGCTTTACAAATGGATATTTCCCAGCTCTCTGTTCCTCCTCATTTGATGGACAGGCAGCATCTTCTGGAATAGTGCCAGGTGCATCCTGGAGACAAAATGATAAAGGTCAGAGTAAACAGATTTGGCCACATTAAGTGCCTGGTCACCAGGACTGCTTTTAACTCTGACAGAGTGAATATTGTTGTCATATATGACCCCTTCATTGATCTCAACTACATGGTCTACATGTTCCAGTATGATTCCACACATGGCAAATTCATGGCATAGTCAAGGCTGAGAACAGGAAACTTGTCAACAGAAAGCCCATCTCTATCTCCCAGGAGTGAGACCCCGCCAACCTCAAATGGGATGATGCTAGTGCTGAGTATGTTGTGGAGTTCACTGGGGTCTTCACCAGGGAGAAGCCCAGGGCTCACTTGAAGGGTGGGGCCAAGAGGGTCATCATCTCTGCCCCTTCTGCTGATTTCCTCATATTTGTGACAGGTGTGAACCATGGGGAGTGTGACAACTCCCTCGAGATTGTCAGCAATTCCTCCACCACCAACTGCATGGCCCCCTGGGCCAAGGTCATCCAATGACAACTTTGGCACTGTAGAGGGACTTGTGACCACAGTCCATGCATCACTGCCTCCCAGAAGACCGTGGATGCCCCTCTGGGAAGCTGTGGTGTGATGGCTGAGGGGCTCCCCAGAATATCATTCCCACTTCTACTGGTGCCACCAAGGCTGAAGCTCACTGGCATGGCCTTCCACCTCCTCACCCTCAATGAGTCAGTTGTAGATCTGACCTGCTACCTGGAGAAAGCTGCCAAGAAGGTGATGAAGCAGGCATCAGAGGGCCCCCTCAAGGGCATTCTGGGTTATAGTGAGGACCAGGTCACCTCCCAGGACTTTAACAGCGACACCCACTCTTCCACCTTTGATGCTGGGGCTGGCACTGCCCTCAATGACCACTATGCCAAGCTCATTTCCTGGTATGACAATGAATTTGGCTACAGCAACCGAGTAGTGGACATCATGGTCCTACATGGCTCCAAGGAGTAGGAGTCCCCTGGACCACCAGCCCCAAGTGAGAGCAGGAGGAAGACAGAGGCCCTCAGCTGCTGGGGAGTCCTTTCCCCAACTCATCCTCCAACACACTGAGAATTTTCCTGACCTCTGTGCAGTTTCCATCCCAGACCCCCTGAAGAAGGAGAAAGGTTTGGGGAGCCCCACCTCCACAGGTGCCATCAATAAAGTATATTGTCCCCAGCCAAACCAAGCCAAGCAAACAAAACCAAGACAAATGGAGATTTCCCTTCTACATGTAAATTTCTTTTGTAAAAGGGTAATTTCTAACGGTTTTCAGAGCTTCTCCTATCTGCTATTTCTTGAAAATAATCAGCCTAGGGGCGCCTGGGTGGCTCAGTGGGTTGAGCGTCCGACTTCCGCTCAGGTCATGATCTCACAGTCTGTGAGTTCGAGCCCCGCATCGGGCTCTGTGCTGACAGCTCAGAGCCTGGAGCCTGCTTCAGATTCTGTGTCTCCCTCTTTCTCTGCCCCTCCCCTGCTCATGCTCTCGGTCTCAAAAATAAATAAAAACATAAAAAAAAAAAAAAAAGAAAAGAATCAGCCTAAATCAATCCTTATGTCACAGAAACATATTTTGGGGTGACAAATTCTGCTTCTCTTCAGTCTTTTCCGTTTGTGTTATAAACTCCCCAAGGCTGAAGTTTTCTTTCATATCTCTCCTACAAGAATCATTAAATCCTAGACCTGTGTAGGGGCCTAGAGCAGGCTGCCCCAAGATGGGCCACTTTGGCATGATTATTCTGAGTTAAAAGCAATCAAAACCCAGCAGATTCAGGAAAAGTTCTTTATCTCTCCCTCAACCGTCTAGATTTACAGCAGAAAGGAGAGCCTGTACCGGAAGAGAGCTATCAACAGAGATTTCTTTTTACCTAAGAAACTGATCTGCACAAGAGGGTGACCTCTGTTTTCCAAGCATCTCCTCTCCCTTTCCAGCTGATGGGCTTCCTCCTCTTCTAAGCCCGGACCCCTACCCTTCTCACGTAAGACATATACACGAGAATGACACATATTCCAGTGCACAGTATAGCGATTCAACAATTCTATACATTACTCAGTGCCCTTCACAGTAAGTGTGCTCTTAATCCCCTTCACCTGTTTCACCCATTCTCCACCACACCCCCACCTCCGCGTAAAGGCTGGTCTTAGGCAACCAACCTGAGGGATGGAAAGCTGAGTGAGGTACGAGGGCCCACAGTGACCACCAGGCTGCATACAAACATGCCCATTAGGGGATCCACCCTGGGGCACCTGCATGGTTCAGTCCACTGAGTGTCCAACTCTTGATTTCAGCTCAGGTCATGATCACAGGGTCATGGGCTGTGCTGAGCATGCAGCCTGCTTGAATTTCTCTCTCTCTCTCTCTCTCTCTCCCTCTGTCCCTCTCCCCCACTCGTGCTTCCTCTCTGCCTCTAAAATTAAAAAAAAAAAAAAAAAGGAAGAAAAAGGAGACCCATCTCAAAATATCCATAATCTCTAGCTGACCAATGGATTACTTACAACTGGGCACAGGTACCAAAAAAGGAAAATTCGACACTTTCCCACACCTCTTCACCTTCCCCCTTAAACCACAGCCCCCCACCACTGCCTCCTGGCAGCTAGTCTCTCCTTCGCTGTCCTGCCCGCTGCTCCTTTGCAATGTATCCAATAAACTTCTATCTCCTTCGTTCTGCCGTGAGTGAATTCTTTCACTGCCTTGGCCGCGGGGCCTCAACCTGATCCGGTGGCCCCACACTCCCCTCTGGTAACCATCAGTTTGTTCTCCAGTTTTAAGAGTCTCTTTTATGGTTTGTCTCCTTTTTTCTTTTTTTTTTTTTGTGGTTTCTTCTTTTTTTATTATTTTTAAAATTTTTTAATGTTTTTATTTATTTTTGAGAGAAGAAAGAGAGTGCCAGCAGGTGAGGGGCAGAGAGAGAGAGAGAGAGAGAGAGAGAGAGAGAGAGAGAGAGAGAGAATCTGAAGCAGGCTCCAGGCTCTGAGCTGTCAGCATAGAGCTGGATGCAGGGCTCGAATCTATCATAAACTATGAGATCATGACCTGAGCCGAAGTTGGACACCTAACTGACTGAGCCACCCAGGCGCCCCTCTTCCTTCCTTTCCTTTCCTTTCCTTGCCTTGCCTCGCCTCGCCTCGCCTCGCCTCGCCTCGCCTCGCCTCGCCTCGCCTCTCCTCTCCTCTCCTCTCCTCTCCTCTCCTCTCCTCTCCTCTCCTCTCCTCTCCTCTCCTTTTTTTAGAGAGAGAGAGAGCATGAGCAGGAGAGGGGCAGAAGAAGAGAGGGAGAGAATCTTACACAGGCTCCACACTCAGCACATGATGCAGGGCTCAGTTCCATGACCCTGGGATCATGACCTGAGCTGAAATCAAGAGTCAGATGCTCAACAAACTGAGCCACCCCAGTGCCCCACTTTTGTTGTCTCTTAAATTCCACCTATGAGTGAAATCATATTTGTCTTTGTCTGACTTATTTCACTTAGCCTTATACCCTCCATGTTGCTGCCATTGGCAAGATTTCATTCTTTTTTATGGCCGTGTAGTACTCTATTGTGTATATCTATATACACAATATATATTGTGTGTGTGTGTGTATATGGTCTCTATATATACACATACGACCTCTTCTTTATCATGTGGTTTAGCTTCTTACCTCAAGGCCACCAAATGTTTAAACCACTGAGACAAAAATAGCACTCCATCCTTCTCAGAGTATTTCCAAGAAATTGGAAGCACTCATTGTCCCCAGTTACCCATTCCCACTCTTTGCTGTAAGCCCATTTTCCTTAAACAGATAGCGCTGAAGGGGTTTGGGACAGTTTCCCCACACCCCAGAATGGGCCACTTTGGCATGTGGATTATTTTGAGCTGAAGGCAAGTGAGACCCTACAGCTCAAGAGAAACTTTTGTTTTTCCCTTAACTCCATAGAAGAATCTACACTGGAGGGTCTTTCCAGAATAAGGGTTATTAGCAGAGATAAATTTTATCTGAGCGGCCATCTGTATAGGCAGGCAAACAGCCAATCACCAAATATCTGTTCTTCTCGTATTCCTTCCCTCTGAAGTCCCAGACCCCTACCCCCTTCTCCTTAGCTCAGAACGACACATATACCCCATTTTGCCTGACCGTCTTGGGAACTTCCACGTCTGTGTGGATTCCCTGTATGTCCGCTATTAAATTTGATTTTCTCCTGTTAATCTGTCTCATGTTAATTTGATTCTTAGTGCAGCTAGAAGAGCCCTTGAAGGAGTCAGGAATTCCTGCTCCCTGACATGGCTTCTCCATGAAAGCCCATTAGAGGGTAGCAAAATCACCCCTCAGCCTTCCTGTCCCTGAGTGTCAGCTGGTCACTGGGTCAGGCTCTCCATAAAACAGGTGAGCTGTGAATGCACGCACATGCATTGTCTGCAGTGGGGAAAGTCCTGGGCCAGGAGACCAGGCCCGGGGATAGCAGCCGCCCCTCTCCTACTCACCATTCCTACCCATGCCATATGGGCTGTGTTTTGAGAGATCTTCTGAATTTCCCAGAGAAGCTGGAAATCTGTAGGTATAAGTGAAATTGTTAATTTTTTAAAATGTGGGCAACTAGATTTTTTTCAATTGTAAGCCAAAACAAAAACAAAAACAAAAAACAAAAAAAATCCAAAACCCAAAACCCCCCACAAAAACCCACAACCACCTCTGTGGATTTCAAGTAACCTAGGAGTGAGCAGTTTGCAGAGACTGTATTAAGCTGCCTGGGACCTAGTCTGCCCCCTTTGGGACTTGTCACCAGTACTGACCTTAGATTAGTTGATGGGGTCTCTGCCTTAACTCCCAGGCTGTAGTGGGCCTCACTCTGATTCTGCCTCTTCCTTACAGGGCTAGGAGTTTGAGGGCCAAAGGAGATGACCATCTAGAACTCGTGCCTTCTTCTAGACCATGCTCCTGGCTCACTGGACTCTGAAAACAAGTCTGCTCCCAAAGCCCAGCCTGTCTCCAGAGCCTGTGTTCACCTCCATCCTTCCAAGGCAACCAGTACCTCCTGGTGTGGGCATCCTTAGGCTTGAGGGATGGCAGAGAGGTGGCTGTTTGCAGAGCAGGGTTGGTGAACCAATAGTATGAGTTCCCTTTGGTCGCTGGAGTAGAGCACAAACAGAAGGGGCAGGACAGCCAGCCAGAGTCCTGCATTTCTCCGCTTGTCCCTGGCACAGCAACTGTTAGGGGTGGGCCTGCTTGTGTGTCCAGTGTGGATGAGACTGTCATGAGAGCTCACGCTGCTTTGCATCTACCCTGGGTCAGGCACTCTTAAATGCGCTGCATGCATCATGTCATTTGACCCTTTTATCAGCTCTGAGCACGCCTACAAGTAGTGGGCCCACTTTGCAGATGAGGAAACCAAGGCACAGGGAAGTGAAAGAAGTTGCCCACAGCTAGAGAGTGGCAGAGCCAGGATTTAAACCACGGTGTGCAGCGGGGCGCACGGGCTCCCTGACCAGCCCACAGCGGAATCTGCTAGGGCTCCACGGCCCCCCGGACGTCCGGCCCCGTAGGGGTTGGGTGGTTGGGTGGCCGTAAGGACCCTGCGGCCTCCCTCTGAGCCTGGGGCCCTAGGGGGGAGGGGGGAGGGTGCGAGGAGCGCCTGCTGGGTGGCTGAGGGATGGCCTCCCCGCGGCCCCAACCCCCCGCCCACCCCCGGCCCGGCGGGGACGGCGGCGCCTGGCAGCGGGGGATTTGGACGCGGCGGCCGGCCCCCGCCCCCCTCCCCCCCACCTGGGGGTTTGGCTCCCGGGGACTTTATCTCCATTCCTCGGCCAGCCCAGCTCCTTCCCGGCATGCCCCGCTCCTGCGAGCCGCCCGCGAGTCCCGCGCCCGGACTTTGCCATCGGCGGGGCCGGGCGGCCGGAGCGTCCCCGGGATGCGTCCTGCGGCCGCGGCCTGAGGTGGGTGGGCCTCGCCGCGCCCCGGAGCGGCGGCAGGGAGGGCGTCCGGCCCGCCGGGGTCCCGGGGCCCGGAGATGGGGGCCGATGGCGGGAAAGGGGGGGGGGGGCGGACCGGCGGCACCTTTGTTGGGGCCGCGGAGCCCGCGCGCTGCACCCCGGGCGCCCACAAGTTGGGCAAAGTGGGACTCCGCGCCTGGGAGCCCTGCGAGCCTCGCGCCGGGCCGGGCCGGGGGTCCCTTCTTCCGACCTGGGTGTTGGGACGGGTGTTCCCGGCAGGGGGAAGGAAGGAGGCGGAGGCTCGGGGCTGTTTTATCCTGGTGGATTTAGAGCCCCTTGGCGGTGAAGAGGGTGGGGGTGGGGGACACACACACACACACACACACACACACACACACACACACACCAAGAAACCGAGACCTACCCACACGCTTACACAAAGACAGAGAAAGAGACAAAAACTTATCCTGAAACACACAGAAAAATACACGGAGAAAAAGAGAAACACACTCTGACACAACGCTCCGAGAAAGGCCGCAAAAACTCAGAACGCTCTTACGGACTGAGAGAAACACACTCAGGACGTCCACAGGAAGCCAGGAAACAAAGCGGGTGGTCTTGGGAGGCCACGGTTCCGGGGGGGGGGGGGGTGGGGGGGGGTGGGTGGGGGGGGGGGGGGGGTAAGATGCCTGGAGAGGAAAATGGAGAAACACAGAGACACAGAAATGAGAGAAAAGAAAAAGGGCTAAAGGAGGTAGCCCTTCAGGAGGGACAGTGTAGAGAAACACACATCTAGAGAAATTGAGGCAGACGCTGAGAATTACCCTCCCCACCCCCTTCCCCACCCCCCACCCCCACCTCCCATGGGAGATACAGAAATAAAAGAGACAGACCCCAGCCTTCTCAGCCTCTTGAGCAGGTGAGTTCCAGGTGGTAGGACAGCTCTGTGAAACCTTTGAGAAAGGCCTCCTTGGCACTTTGAGCCAGCCAAGTCCCTATGTTGTCCACCTGGCAACCTCCTACTCATCCTTCAAAACCCAGCTCAAACAACATCTGCCCTGGGAAGAAGGCTTTCGCAGAAAATATCATACAAGTAGAGTTACCTCTTGTCCGTGTTCTCTGCATGTGACACAGCACAGGAGCTGAGCTGGGGAAGTGGTTGACCGGCAAACAGAAAACATGTGTCCATTTGTACACCTGTTTCTCAGCTCCTCAAGGTTTGGGGTTCGTGTCTCAATTATCTCCAATCTTCAGAATCCAGCCTAGTGCTTGGTGCCTAGTAGATACTTATTGAATGCCAACTGGGAACGTTCAAACCGTCTGAGGCATGTAGTATAGAATAAGTTCTGCATCATCCTGGGATCATAGGAACGCCTAGACCAAGGCCCCTCTTGTGCAGATGGAGAAATTAAAGCCCAGACAGGGGAAGAGACTTGCTCAAAGGCACACTAGTAGGAGCCTGCAATGAATACATAGTTCTCTGAGATGCCCTCGTTCCTCTGCCTGAGTCTCAGATAGGTGTGGAAGAACCCCCTGAATGAGAACAGACAATAGGCAATGAACATGTTACCATCAGTTGTAAGTTTCCAACACGAAAAGTGACAGTCAAATGCCTTTCCACAATGTTTAGAATCTTCTTCCCTTCTTAGAAAGGTGACGGGAGGTGGATGCCCAGCCCAGTTTAAGTGAATGGGTTTCTGCTTTCAGACTACAGAACCTTGGACAAATTACTTAACCTTCCTGAACCTGTTTTCTCAACTGTAAAATGGGAATACTAATACCTACCTCAGGATTGTTAGAAGAGTTAACACACAAAGTGCCAGGCACAGAGTAGACTCTCAGTAAATGCAATCCTGCCCTTCTTAGGAGGGTATTCTCTCCTGCACTTGGTGTAGATGTGAAAACAACGGTGTTAGTTATGATGTTTCCTTTTGTGCAGATTTGAAAAGCCAACCTGGTCCAGCAGGTGGCAAACTCTTAATTAGACAAAAGGCAGATTTGGGACATGACATAAAATGCATCTCGTTTCTGTTCAGGCCCTCAGGTCTCTGCAGGTGACTTGGGGAGAACCTGGCTCTCCGCACCCCCCCCCCCCAGGTAGGATCCCGCTGCCCCACTCTCTTTTGCTGCTTCTTTACCAAGGCCTGCTCTGCCCTTGTGTCCTTCAAGATTTAGCTCCTGCTGGGGACGTGACTGGGACCGAGGGAGCCACCCAGAAGCATGGAGACTGTGGTGATTGTCGCCATAGGTGTGCTGGCCACCATCTTCCTGGCCTCATTTGCAGCCTTGGTGGTGGTTTGCAGGCAGCGTTACTGCCGGCCTCGAGACCTGTTGCAGCGCTATGATTCCAAGTAAGTGGGCCCGGGGAGGGGAAGGGAGGAGAGGTGGGTCCTGCCAGGGGCTCCAACAGCAGAAAAAACAGAGAGGAGCCCAAGGAGTTTGGTGGTGGACAACTCTAGCTCAGCTTTTTGTCTCTAAAATGGTGCCCGAAGGCTCCCTTTCCAAGAAAGACCTCGGAGCTTAGCAATGTCCTGAGCCTTCTCTGACTCTGTCACTGAGTTAAGGAGAAAGTGACCGAACGGGCTCACCTACCACAAAGGTGCGGCCATCTATCCAGAAGTGGCCACTTCCCTTAGCATTTGAATACATCCAGCTTCTTTCCAGCCAAACTCGTAGGAACGGAGATCCCAGGCCTGCATTCCAGCCACACATGGAAGCAGCAGATACTGGGTTGTGTGAAATCCCAGCAGAGGACTGTCTCCCTCTTTGCACGGATTTCTTCATGATGCGTTTTGTGTGCAGTCTATTTTGTGAGCATGATCTAGTTTTCCGTTTAGGGGTGTTTTAACGGATCGACCCTTGAGGGACCATGGCAGGTCACCCTTAGTTTCTCTTATCCCTCTGTCTGAATCCTATCAGCATCTCTGTTAAGAGGTAGATAATTTGTAAATGCCCGTTTATATGGCCCAGGAAAGTTCTGCTATTCAACGGAATTCTCTGGCATCCCTGTTGTAAAGTCAGTGTTGTGATTCCTCCCACTTCTCCAGTAGAACGAGGAGGGGGTAGGACCAAAGTCCTTCCCGACAGTAATTCTGCAGACCAGGTAGGTTTGGGTAATAGGAACTTCGGCTTCTCTGGAAAAGGTAGGCTTGAAGGAAAAATGGGTTTAAGAAGGCTGTTATTTTGTGCTGAAGGAGCATCCCTGTCTGACACATCTCTGCCTCCTATGGCTGTGGCCCTGCCCTTTCTCTTAGTGGCTCATTTCATTCTGCTTCAGCTGTCCTTAGTGCCCTGCCTGCCTCTGTGACCCATGTCTAGCCACGTGCCCCACCCGCACCTGCGGTCCCACTAAGGTTAAATGTGGCTCCAGGACCAAGGGGTCACTGCTTTAACTTGCTAACTTTTTACATCCTGTTGGGGGATATGTGGGCCTCGGTGAGGAGAGGGTCAGCGATGGTCACCCATCGCGAAACCCCTCACCTGGGCATTTCCTTCCAGGCCCATTGTGGACCTCATCGGTGCCATGGAGACCCAGTCGGAGCCGTCTGAGTTGGAACTGGACGATGTGGTCATCACCAACCCCCACATCGAGGCCATTCTGGAGAACGAAGACTGGATCGAAGATGCCTCGTAAGGCCTTGGGGACCGCGGACCGCGTACTTCCTTCAGTCCCCTGGAGATGGCACATGGGCCTCTGGGTGCCCTTTTCTAGGTTCCTTTGCCACAGCACTTGACCAGGCATCCGGGAGCACTGAGTCACTTACAGCTCTTTCCCGGCCCTCAGCATCGGGGGGTAGAGAATCAGATTGTTATGACAGTGTTTGTCCTTCCTCCCCCCATTCTGTAGATCTAAACACTGAGGCCCATAGACGTGTGGCAGAGGTTGTTACAGAGTCACCTTGATGTGCTTGGGTTATCCTTAGGGGGCCTGTGAATTTGACACCCAGGCTCCAGGGATGCAGCCTTTGTCTCCAGGATCCCTCAGGGATCTCTCCATCCGGCAGGAGCCTCTACATGTTGAGAAGTGTGTGCCACTCTGTGCCATTGTCATTCACCAGCAGACGTGTGGGGGACATTGCATGTAGGACACTGGGCCAGTTAGTGCAGCTGTTAGGAATTCTACTAAATACGCTATCTCCGAAACGTTAGTGGGTCTCTGCACAGCGCCGTGGGCACACACAGGAGGCGATGTCTAGAGTTGCCTGGGGTGGGGAGGTGGAGGTGGCTTTCATGAAGGCTGTCCCGGAGTGAGTGCCTTTTGACCTGGGCCTTGAAAGATGAGGTGCTCAAGAGGCTGAGAATAAGGGGAAAGTCACACGGGGTGGAAGGAACAGTGTCAGAAGCTCAGAACTCTCAGAAAGCATGCCTTGAGAGGTGAGTGCTGCCTGGGAGAGTGGGCTGGATACGGGAGGGGAAGGGAAAGGAAAGAAGGTTCCTCCTCATGTAGCTGGTGGACCTGTTCAGTTTAACCCTGAGGCAGTCCTGCTCTCGGTGGTGTCCCGGTGGGTCAGAGCTACATGAGGAGCCGAGCTGGTGGCCGGAGCCAGGTGGGCCTGCAAGAAGGAGCACTGACAGATTCTTCTTGTCTCCCCAGGGGTCTCATGTCCCACTGCATTGCCATCTTGAAGGTAATACTTTTGGATTTCCCATGAGATAAGGGGGTGGAGGGGCTCACCAAATCACCCCTGTGCCCACACTCTTTTTTTTTTTTTTTTCTTTTTAACATTTATTTGTTTTTTTGAGAGACAGAGAGAGGGCGGGGCAGGGGCAGACAGGGAGAGGGAGACGCAGAATCGGAAGCAGGCTCCAGGCCCCGAGCTGTCAGCACAGAGCCTGATGTGGGGCTCGAACTCACAAACCGTGAGATCATGACCTGAGCCGAAGTCAGATGCTCAACCGATTGAGCCACCCAGGGGCCTCTGTGCCCAGACTCTTGAAGGGCATCTTAGGAAGGGCCCTGAACCCATGCAAGAAGGTTTTTAAACATGCCTGACGCTTGGGATTTCTGCTGTTTCCACTCCCTCCTGGGTGGTCTGTTATACGCGAGCATTCTCAAGACCCTTTAAAGGTTTTATTTCACCTGGTCCTGCTAATACAGTGGCCTGTGAGAAAGGCCACATACGTGGTCACTGGCCACATTTTCACCAATTGGGGAAGGCAGTGTGCCCGAGTGTGTGTAGCTGCTAAGGGGGAGTGGGCTCCCCAGCTTCTCTCTGGGCACTTTCCTTCATTAACAGAGAGCTCAGCCCTTTGCTCAGTGAGTTGAATTCTGTATCTGGACTTCCCCAGTTACTAGAAAGTCCTTCATTGGCCCTCTCTGGCTAGGACGGTAGTCAGCCACATGGGACGGTCGGTGGTGTTGAAAAATCCAAACCATGAGTATTGTACTTGAAGGCAGATTTTTTTCTTCTAATTCCTGCAGCCTCCATGATTGGGTGGAAAATTGCATCCAGTTTGTGTTTTGGCTAGTTTTTATAGTTTGGGGTAATTTTTATATTGTTAGCATTTTTTTTTTAATTTTTTTTTTCAACATTTTTATTTTATTTTTGGGACAGAGAGAGACAGAGCATGAACAGGGGAGGGGCAGAGAGAGAGAGGGAGACACAGAATCGGAAACAGGCTCCAGGCTCTGAGCCATCAGCCCAGAGCCCGACGCGGGGCTCGAACTCACGGACCGCGAGATCGTGACCTGGCTGAAGTCGGACGCTTAACCGACTGCGCCACCCAGGCGCCCCTGTTAGCATTTTTTCTTAATGATTGTCTTGTCTCCTACAGTTTTAAAAAAAATTTTTTTTTAACATTTATTTATTATTGAGAGACAGAGAGAGACAGACATGAGCATGGGAGGGGCTAAGAGACGGGGAGACACAGAATCCTAAGCAGACTCCAGGTTCTGAGCTGTCAGCACAGAGCCTGACGTGGGGCTCAAACTCACAAACCGAGAGATCATGACCTGAGCCGAGACCAAGAGTCAGACTCTTAACCGGCTGTGCCACTCAGGTGCCCCAGCATTTGGTTTTTTAATCCTTGTGTGATAAGAATAATATTGAAATATTTGGTCAGTTGCAGATATTGGCAGTTTCTTCATCGCGTAACCTGGGAAACTACAACCTTTATCTTTTTGTCCAGTAATTATTCAAGATTTCAGAAACAGCCCATGTTTTCTCCGGTGTCATTCAGTACAGATAGGATGATGTCTTTCGTCCCACGTCTCCTGTAGCTGTCTCTACTGGGGGACAAAGGAGTGTCTACTAGGAAATTGTCCTAGGGTCCAGGATTATTTAATTCCAAGACGCTCTTTGGGTGTAGATATGGTTACAGACAGGTCTAATGACTAGAGCAATTATACCATATTCATTTCCCATCTCCCAGCTAGCATGTGTCCTGGTACCAGGTTTTGTCCCCGTCCCTGCCTATGACACCTGAGCTGGGGAATAAGTCAGCAGCAGGAAGGAGTCTTACTGGATTGGAATCAATGGTCCAGCCTGAGATTCTCAGATCCAAGGAGAGGGGAGAGGCCCTGGGGTCTGAAGGCCCTTTTGGTTGGCCACCTGCCCTTGAGTCCCTGTGGTGGGGACTTGCAGGAGGGGCCTAGGCTCTCTCCTGGGTGAGCTCTTGGCCTTCTTTCTACCCTCTTTTCCAGCCCCAAGTAGGCGGCATGGCACTTACTTGCCAGGGACAGAAGGAAGCACATCCAGGTTCTAACATCGGGGAGGTGTGGAAGCGGGGAACCAAGCTTTTGGGGGTGGCCAGCACTGTTGATGGATGAGAAAGGCCTCAGGCGGTAGTCATGCCTTTTTCCTGCTTTTTCTGAAGACTCATTCGCCATGGCCGTGTTGACAAACGTGGTGTCACCCCAGATAATTGTTGAACTAAGTGCTGCTTTTGGAGGATGTGCTTCAAGGGGACAGTTGTCCTTTGTCCAGCTGTGTTCCTGAGGGTGCCCCACTGGGGAGATCTAGCCTTCTGGAAGACTAAACCATGAGGTGAAAGAATAGAAAGAGAAAGTAGGTTTTTCCCCCTAAACGACAAGGCGAAATTAGAGCACATGATTTTTCTTAGACAGATTAATTCAGCTTAGACTTCTCTAAGCCGAAACCGTGACCCTGATCTCAGCTTCCCACCCCTCCCTCCTCGCTGGACGGCGCCCTTGGCTTTTGCCGCTTCCATCCCATTTCTCTCGTCCGTGTGCTTTTCACTCAGTTTGCCCACTAGGTTAGGGGTCCCTGGTGTGGGATGGAACCCAAGGCAGGGGCCATATTTGTTTGTGGGGGCAGCAGAAACTCTTGGGGGAGCTGGAGCGCCCCCCCCCCAGTCACCCCTCCCCTCCCTGCTGTGTTAGATTTGTCACACTCTGACAGAAAAACTTGTTGCCATGACAATGGGCTCCGGGGCCAAGATGAAGACCTCAGCCAGTGTCAGTGACATCATCGTGGTGGCCAAGCGGATCAGCCCCAGGTGAGCTGGTGGGCCTTGAGGTCCCCACCCTCTGCGGGGAGTGGGGGGATGGGGAGGAGGGAGGGACCGGAAGCTGAGGTGGCAGGCGGGCCAGGCTCCTCGAGGAAACTACATAGGTCACTTCAGTTACAGGCGTCCCAGACATTTACAGAGCATCCAGGAAGGTTTAGATTCTCAGAGACCAAGCCAGGGTTTAGATACTTGTCTCACACAGTGCCCCTCCGCCTCCCACGGGCCTCCTCCTCTGGTTGGCTTTTCGGGGAATTCTAGCATGTGACTAGGGCCGACTCTTCTAGTCCATTCTGCAGATCCCACTGTGTCTGCTGCCTCTCCCTCAGCCCCACACCAGCTGGGGCTGCCTGCCTTCCCTTCCTCCCAGGCTCTGGGCCAGGAAGCACATTTCCCACCGGTGTCCACACCCTCGTGCAGCGACCATGCCCCACCCTGCCCTATCTGTACTGGAGACCAGTTTCAGGGACCTGCTCCTTGCCACTTCCCTGTCAACCCCTGGCCCAGCCAGGGCCCAGCCAGCAGCCTCCAGGACTGGGTGTGGGGACGGGGGGAAGAGAAGCCATACCTCATTCAGATCTCCCAAATGCCAGGCTGCCTGCAAAACCCCACGTGGGAGGCAACCGGCAGGACTGTAGTCAACAACTACACCCCCTCGTTTGGGCTTGACTTTGTCAAGTATAAAGCCCTTTTCTTAGGGAGAAGGGTGGTACTGGGTTTGTGCTGCCATCTGGTGGCTGGTATGTGGATGTGCCTGAGTCGGGAGTTGGCCAGGTCCAGGATGTTTTCTCAATCAGCCAAGCAGCCTTACTGCCGGGACAGTGCCTCCACGTCCCCGGTTGGAATGGTGGCACTCCCTGTGAATTCCAGGGACTCTCGGTTTCCTGGTTGCCATGGCCTCGGCTAGATCACGAGGAACCAGCCCTCTGAAGGAATATGAGAGTTGGAGCACTTGAACTCTGTCCAGGGCGTTCAGTGAGTTGAGAAAGTAGGAAGGAGAAAATCCCAGGGAGGGACCCAGCTCAGAAGAGTTCTTGGCTTTTCTGAACTGGAGCTGTCCCGGGTGGGTGTAGCTGTGGGACTTGTACCAGCCTGGCCAGAAGGCCCTGCAGCCGAGGCCCTGGGCAAGCACCAGGCATTCCTCTGGCCACCCCTTGTTAGTAGAGACTCTGCACTGCTCCTGTCTGCTGGACCTTCATCGTGCTTCCAGTCACTGCAAGAGCCACCCCTGGGGTCTGCGCAGTTCCTGTGATACCTGGTTGTCACGAGGAGGCATTGCCGGGAGCGGTGGGAGGAGGAAAGAGATGGAGATTTCTGGGGAGGAAGGAAGTCCCTGGGGCTGGGGATTAGCCCTGTTTGGAGAGGGGGTGTGTGTGGCGTTGCTCAGAGAGTGGACCTAACCTGGTGCACACTGGCCCGTCCTACTGAGCCCCTTGGGCTGCTTCCAGAATGTTCCCTGCCATAATTCAGTCAGTGCCCTTGCTTTATCTTTTTGCCTTTAACACTTCTTTCTTCATCTGGCCTTTTTTTGTCCCCATTGTTTTTCTTGCTCCATTTATTCCACATAAGTGTGTTGATAGCGTATTAGTTTCAAGGCGAGTGGCTTCAGCTCCAGGGCCCTACAGAGAAAGGGGCTGGCGAAGACGGCCGCTGATGTTCTTTGCGTTTCCTCACCAGCCCCTCAGCCCCGAGACAAGAACATTGGAGGGCATCTACCTATTTTCAAGTGCTTTTCAAAATCAAACAATGTATCATTGTTTTTTCTTCCTGACTACCACGCAGTCCAGGAGCGAGGATTTGGATGAAAATCTTGAACCGTGCAAATCAGAATGAATAGCAGCTCCTTTCTGAACTTGATTTAAAAAAAAAAAAAATTAACGATGAATTGTACCGTATGTAAAGGAAATCCACTGGAGCAGTTTGGACCCAAATTAAACTTGTAGGCTTTGTGTGTGTGTGTGTGTGTGTGTTCTATATAACTATATTTAACCTTTTTTAAAAAACACAATAGTAGTAAATACTTAACGGAAGTCAAAATGCAGAAATAGATTGGAAAGTGAGGGAACCCCAACTTCCACCGCACCCCAATCCCTGGCAGTAACACGATTGAATGCTGGGTATTCCTCCACACTGCTCAGCGGCTGCACTTCATAGCTTTTGTTTATTTACTTTCATGCCAGCGGATCCATCAAACTTTAGATGTCGTTTGGCAGTTTGCCCTCTTAATTTAGTAGCGTATCTTGAACATCATTCCAGAAGGGCGAGCTTAACACTTTTTAAAAACTATCGGGACTGAAACAAAACCCAAAAACAAAATACTCCCCAAATCGAGTATTCCTGTTCAAGTCTGTCTGAGAAGGCAAAAGCAGTTGGAGAAAAGAAACACTAAAGATTGGGGCTCTTCAGTATCAGAAGAGAAGATCGGGACAAAGAAAGGTAGAAATGGAGGAAGAACAGAAAAGGACACCAGGGAAGTGAACTACTGAAATCCTTTTGCCTCCCCACAGAGTGGACGATGTGGTGAAATCGATGTACCCTCCGTTGGACCCCAAACTCCTGGATGCGCGGTGAGGAGGGGGGGAGGGTCATTCGGTTTCTCACGCGAGAAGCTCACTGTTTTTATCACATCTGTGAGGTCCTCTGTCTGGGTTGTGGAGAAGGCTGCTGTATTGGGTTCCCAGGGCTGCAGGCCCCATTCATTTGAGTGTGAATGGTGATAGAGGCCCGGGCTCTTCCTGAAGCCTGGGATTAGGGGGAGCCAGTCTTAGACTTTGAATTTTTAGGATTAAACGTCTGGCCATGGTAAATCCTACCTGCACCTTCACTCCCTCCCCTTTCTCCCATCTGCCTCCACTCCCCCCAAAAAGCAGACATGCCCTAGCTGTGAGTGCTGCCCAGGGGGTGGGTGGGTGGGGCAGGTGGTAAGCAGGGCAAAGGATGGAAGGGACAGCTGGGCTCAAGCTGTGCTCACGTTCCGCAGGACGTACCCAAGACCCCCGCTTGTGATCCTCCCGTAGTACACTGAGTATACATTGGCTTTTGATGTTATACTCCTCTACCAGATGCAAACTCATTAGAACAAGCAGATTCTTTTGTCTCTTGGATTTACGTGAGCATTTCATAGATCTGCTGTGTGATGATTGCCAGACTGCAGTGATTACAGTGGCTCCCAGGGCTTCAGCTGGTTTTTCTGCCCTGCTCCCATGCTCCGCCCCGCTGTGTCTACGGGCTCAGAATCTGATACAGTCCCACCTGCATCATATACACTCACTCCATCAAAGATATTCTACAGTGAATCTTTCAATACTGGGAAAGAAAACACTCCTCCTCAGTTTGGTTTTCAATTAAATTTTGTTTTTAGAGTGGTCTAAACCAGCTCGGGGCCTTATTGATTCAAAATCAATAAGGGATGCCCCAGGCAGGGGTACGTCTATCGTGTTTTTAAGTGGGCAACAGTTGGGGAATGCGCTCATCCAATGGACTAGATCTGAATAGTCCTACAGAACACTCTTCTGGGAGATGTTAATAGGTGTGCTGCAGAAAACAGTCTCCACAGTCTTAAATGAGTTAGTGAGCCAGAGCACATTGTATTCTGTCCTTACAGCTTTATCACGCATGTTACAGGCTCAGAGAAGGCTTCAGTTAACGTTGTTTAACCCAGCCATGCCCAAATTTATTGGAGTGTGGAGCCATCTTTAAATCACCAACCTCCCGGGGAAGGGCCTCCAGTTTGGAGAACACCAGACCAGAGTCTGTCCATGTGGGCTTTGGTGCACAATCCCTCATTCCCTAGGGACACTGATCCTGCTGCCTTTTCTAGGACTACTGCCCTGCTCCTGTCTGTCAGTCATCTGGTGCTGGTGACCAGGAATGCCTGCCACCTGACCGGGGGCCTGGACTGGATCGACCAGTCACTGTCTGCTGCGGAGGAACACCTGGAAGTCCTTCGAGAAGCAGCCTTGGCTTCTGAGACAGATAAAGGCCTCCCAGGCCCTGAAGGGTTCCTGCAGGAGCAGTCGGCCATTTAGTGCCTGCTGGCCAGCCTGCCGCCGTCCCTGGGTGGCTCAGTGGACCTTCCGCTTCTCCCCATAGCGTGAGTTCTCGGGGGTTCAGCTGTACGTGCCGAGCTGATGCCTCTGCTGCAGTAGCAAATGCTGACTGGCGAGTGGCAGTCTAACACCGCGGTTCCAGGAGACGGCTTGCACCGTCTGCACAGCAGAGCCTTAGAGACTGGTAGACCGGCAGCTTTATTTAGCCCACCTAGTGTTTTCAAGAAAATTGAGCCACCATCTAGAAATCACAGGGTTTCGCCCTGAAATCAGAGTTTCTGGCTTCTCTTAAACAATCCGAAGATAAGGCAACTCTGAAATGCATCTGCAGAAGACAATCATCTTGAACTCAGTGGGAGTTGTGTCTTTTGACAGGGCTTGTACTCGCTCTCTCTCTCTCACTCGCCTGGTCTGTTTCATTTGTATTATCTGCCCTGTCCCTGGGGCATCTGAGTCCCTCTTCCCCTTCCCAGGTTTGCCTTTGAAAGTGAGCAACGAGTTGATTTTTCCTTGTCATTGGGCCTGCAATTTTACCTACCTACCACTAGGAGGACAGTACACTTACACTTAGACTTCTGTCAAGCGAGTGGTTATTGACTCATTCGAACGTATGGGGTGCAGTGCGATGTATTTGAGAAGTCAGGGTGGGAGAAGGGAGCCTGAGAGTCCTGAGGACACATTGTGCATATGACCCAAAAAGAGGTATTTCAAGACCCTTCAGAGTTTAGGCGGAAGTGAAGATCCCACCATAAAGTAGTTTCCACATGAGCAATGATATCCGTGAAGGTTGTATTCCCCCTTTCTTTTGGTTTCTGTTTGTTTTTGCAAATATTGAAAGACAAGGGGCATTTTTATGACATGAGACCTTTGTGGGACCCAGAATCCCAATCATATAGTCCAGACATACATCCGAGTTGCTTAATTGCCATCATAAGCATATAGGAGAGCCGGAAGTACTTTGCTTCTCCCAGGATCTCAGAGCCAATGTTTCTCTTGGGAGACAAGGCTCTGGCTTGGGAGCTGCCTTAGTTCATATGCTGTGCTGTTTGGCATGTTTGGATTTCCGAGTCTGGTCCCATTTCATTTTCTGTGTGCTAACTCGTCAGCAGATGCCTCTGTCTGGTTCTAGAGAACCAGGAGCCCATATTTCCAAGATCAAGATTGGAGCCTTGTTTGTCACTGAAATGTCCCATTGGGCACAGTCCATTTTCTCCTGGAAAGCAGGATGCTTCTGTGTACGGGTTCCCACCTGGGAAATGGAGTCAGGAGAGGAAAGCTTGGGTCAGCTCGCTGTGGACTGATGATGGATTCCTGACTGCAGGGCCACCTTATTGGATTGTCCATTCCCATCAGCTCTGAACGCATGCTAAGTAGCTAACTTGTCCTGCTGGTAGGGTGTGAATGGGGAACTTCCTCAAGGCCACTTTGAATTTTCCATGTCATGGCCTCCACAAACAGACATCCACAGTCCTCCTGTTGTTTATTTTCCCTTCCTTTCAAAAACCTACATTCACAATGAGATTGGAAACCACTTTCTGCTAAGGGGTTGCAATGGCTGCCACAGGTATAAATGTCCCTGCCTTTGAACCTGGGTCAGAGCCCTAAGCCAAAGAGGGACAGCCCCAAATTGGCATCTCAAATACCACCCAGCAGGTGTGGGGGCGGGGGGTGGAGGTGAAGTTTCCCAGCATCCCTGAAGCAACGCCTGCTGTCGCCAACCTTCTGTGAGCCCTGGCCAGTCCTGGCGCCTCCCTGAATCCCTGGGTCGCTGCAAGGAGAGGTTGCTGAACGCCTGGGCAGTGTCTGTTGGACTGCAAGATCTCCGATCTGGCCACTGCGTGGTTTCTCTTTTGTCTCCAATGCAGGACAAATAAGTCTCTGGATAAGGTGGGTGTTGATTGAGGTGAAAGCACCATCTGGGGGAGGAGGCCTCCCTGCTCCTCTTGGCCCTTTGCGAGTTGGCCGAAGTTACCTTCTCCAAGAGGGCCAGGTTGGTGAGCACGGGGCACCCAGCCTGGTGTGGTTTCCCAGGGGATGGACGCGTCCCAGGTCCCCGGTTCGCTAGTGGCTTTGTGCATGGTGGTAGCTCTCCTGTGACACACACCACCCCTTGCCCTGCCTGGAGTAAGAGCGTCAGACTCAGATTGTGAAGACGGAATGACTCAGGGTTGGCATGGAGTGTGAGATGAGTAAGATCTTCAAACTCAAAACAGTTAGGTTCAAATTTGGACTCTGTCATTTACTGTGTAAACTTGGACAAGTTCCTTAACCTCTCTGGTCCTTAGCTTTCTCATCTATAAAATCAAGGCTCCTTACTACCTCGTGGGTTGGCGTGTCAATCGAACAAAGTGTGTGTGTGTGTGTGTGTGTGTGTGTGTGTGTGTGTGTGTGTGTGAAATGCCCCGTAGTGTGCCTGGTACTGATTAGCTGATATTAATCCTTCTCTCCCCGAAGCCGCCCATGCCCTGAGGCAGGTGACCCAGATGGCAGCACCTCAGTGACCCTGGCTCTGTCTGAGCAGGAGTCTCTGTTCGTAAGCTCTGGAACTGAGCGGCCAAAAATGCTGGAATCACTGCAGTAGGGGGAGTGGCCCAGCCTTGTCCCTGCCCCATCCCTGGTCTGTTTGCAACCTAAAGATGGATCTCTCCACCTCTTATCAGTGTTTCCAGGGTTGATTGCTCAAGCTCACATTCCTCCAGAAAATGGCCCAGGGAGCCTCCTCCAGCTTGTGACATCTTCCAGATGGAGCACGTGTTCCTGGCACCCAGCCCACCCTGGTGCTTACCCTGACCTGCCTCATTCCAGAAGTTCCTTCTCTCCAGAGGCTCTACTCTGTGCCCGATCTGTAGAAAGTGCACGCACCTGATCTGTCAAAAACAAGACGACTTACAATTCAAAATCCCTGAGTTGCTTTATGACCTGGGACATCTTGGGAAGGTGTCAAAGGAACAATTTGCATCAATTTCTTTCTTTCCTTCCTCCACCCTCCTCTACCTCACTTCTAAGCCCTCCTGCCCCACCAAACTTGTCCAGTTTGCTCACCCTGGGAGAGAAGTGTGCTAGAGGCTGGGGCTATGAGCAAAAAGTGCCCTCCCTGTCCTTAAAAAGCAAGAGGGACAAATAAGCAGCCGACTGAACCACAGCTGTGGCAGTGCGGTGATGGAGGGGTGCCTAGCCCAGGACCGATGGGGCACAGAGCAGGGAGATGGGAGTCAGTGAAAAAAACCTGGGGGAAGCAGATGCCCCCGTCAAGACCATCAAGGGGCAGAGAGGTGTTCTGGGCAAACTGGACAACACAGAAAAGGACCAGGAGAGCATGGCTGATTTGAGAAGTGCAGGTGGTTGCGGAGGCTGGAGTGTGGGGTGAACAGGATGTTAGATCACGGAGGACCCTATAGATCCTATTGAGGAGTCAGAGCTTTATTTCTCTGAGCAAAATAGGGACCACAGAAAGGCTTTAAGCAGGGGAGTGACAAGGTCAGATTAGCAATTTAGAAAGAGTCCTTCATACCCTATGACAATAGTCTCAGGCCCATCAATTTGCCTGATGCCACTGAGTACACATTTCCCCCCTGAGTCGGAGAGGCTCACGACCCAATCATGATATAAAACAGGGTGGGCAACTGGTTGGGAAGGAGGAAGAGGGACTAGGCATCAGAGTAGAAAGTGCCAGAGGGAAATACTGCGGTCGTGCCCGGGTCTGCTTCTGGCTGATACGGAACCTGTCTCCGTCAGAAATGCTGATGAGCAGGGCTGTAAGAATTTGGGGCATAACTGGGTCCTCGCTGCTTCATCCATCTGTGTTTTTATCATTCCTACTTTACAGATAAGGAAGCCACAGCCTAGAGAGATAGGTAACTTTCCTCGAGCTAATAAGAATCTGAGCAGGAGGGGCGCCTGGGTGGCTCAGTCGGTTGAGCATCTGACTCTTGGTTTCGGCTCAGGTCATGATCTCACAGTTCTGTGAGTTTGGGCCCCACATTGGGCTCTGTGCTGACAGCACGGAGCCTGCTTGGGATTCTCTCCCTCTCTCTCTGCCCCTTCCCTGCCCTCTCTCTCTCTTTCAAAGTAAACAAACATTAAATTTAAAAAAAAAAAAATTCAAGCAGGAACTTCAACTTCCCATTTTGTGTTCTCAACCAACCACTCCCGCCTGCCTGGGGGCGGTGGGTGGGGAAATCCATAATGGGAAGGAAATAACAGATACCAGTGTCGTCCCATTTTCTTCTAGTTTTAATATTGTTCACTTAAAAAGTGATGGTTGTGACCCATAAATTAATTTCATGGCTCACTAATCGGTTACAACCCACAAGATGATAGTACATGGATACTAAAGTGAGGGCTGGGGCATAGGTGAGGTATTCTTTCCATCCAACATGACTTAATTTGATCCGTTTTAAGTAAAGTGTGCATGTACCAGGTTAGTGGCAAAAATTTATGGGGCAAAATGGAATAATTAATTTATTACATGATTGATCAGTTCAGGAGTCATCTGTTGAGCATCTACACGATCTAGCAATGAATAAAAATATAATGCCTCTCTTGAGGTCCATATGATCTAAGGTGGAAAGAAACCCATAAAGAGTCATTTTCAATATAATGCAGCAAATGCTAAGTAAGGGAACGCGTGTAATGAGAGCACAGCGCAGGGGCACCTAACCCGGCTCCCGAGAGTTTCCGGAAGGTGGTGATGTCTCAGAATTTTCAAGAAGTAGGTGTTGGCGGGGAGGAGATTGGGTGGGTGGGAGCAGGTGGAGGTGGAGCGGGACAGAGGACCCAGGAAGGGGAGTTGTGCAGGAGGACGTCCTCCTGTGCTCAGGAAATTACTGCCACCAGTGTCTGATGGGAGGAGAGGGTGTTGGGAGATGAGCCAAGAGAGCGGGTCGAGGACTAGACTCTGGATTTTTCCTCTGGGTGATAGGGATTTATCGAAAGTTGAAAAAGCTCTTAGTTTTTCTTGGAAAACTACCAAGTGATCTCTGCACCCTCCCCAGCCTTTAATGTTATCCTGATTTGATAGTCGAACAATGGCTCAGCATTGTGTTAATTTGCATTTCCCTGACTACTGGGGAAGTTAAACATTTTTCATGTGTTTATTAGCTGTTTACTTATTCATGTCGTTTCCCCACTTTTCTCCTGGGATTTTAATATTTTTTTTATCGACTTATATGAGCTCTTTATATATGAAGGATAACAACCCTTTGTCATATTTATTGCATATATTTTCCCCAGCCTTGTCATTTGCCTTTTAGTTTTGTTTAGAATGGCTTCTGACGTCCAGAAGTTTTAAATTTGTGTAGTCAAATGGATTGATTTTCTTTCCCTTAGTGATTTCTTCCATTGCTTTTATGCTTAGAAAATCCTCTCTCATCCAGAGATCAAATAAATATCGTTGAAATGTTTGAAGCAGCAGAGTGCCATGGGTGGGTGATTAATAATAATATTCACAGGTTAGATGTAGTGGTAAAAAAAAAACCCAATTAAACAAACAAACAAACAAAAGCCAAGGCAAAGCAGAAAAACAGTAGAAGAAATTAAACCTTCCTTTATCCACCACAAACCCAGCCCAAGGTTAAGGGTGGGAATAATCAGGGATCAAAGAGACAGAGACAAGGAGAGGCCAGTAGAGTCTTGAAGCACTAACACGACGTGGATCAGGCAGGCAGGAAGTAAGCTACACGTCCCAGGGTAGGATATGAAGGAACGTGGCATGTTTGGTTAGAATCTGAGATGAAAAGAAACAGTGATGGGAGAGGGGGAAGAGAATCAGAAAAAGCCAAGAAAGCTGCTAAGACGTTAGGACTGTGTTCTAAGAACAATGGAGAACAATCGAAGGTATAATTCAAGTGATCCAAATAACTCTTAATGCCTCATGGAGCCAGTTAGCATAGAGTTTCGTTTAAGTAGGCATAGCCTGGCAGTCAAATGACAAACGACCAATGGAAGACCAATGACAAAATTCCATTGACAGTGGCACTGGTCTGCCTCTCTTAGTCTGGACCAGATGGTGAGAAGATACCATCTCTTATCTGTCCCTTTTCCTCTCTTCCTTGTTGCCAGGAAAGAGCCTGGGATCTGGAGGCAGTCAGACCCCAGTTTGGATCCTGACTCTGCCACTCCTTAGCCATGACCTTTCCCATCTGCCTGCCTCCCTTCCTTCTGCAAATTCCATCAGACACCCATTCTGTACCAAGCATTGTCTACGTGCTGGGGACACAGGGCAGAGATAAACCACACAATGCTGCCCTAATAGAATTATAGGCTAGTGAAGGAAGACAGATGTTAAACAAATGATTGCTTAAATAAATGTAGAGTTAGGGGCACCTGGCTGGCTCAATCTGTGGAGCAGGCTGCTCTTGATCTCGGGGCCATGAGTTCAAGCCCCATGTTGGGTGTGGAGCCTACTTAAAGATTAAACAAAATAAATGTAGAATTTAAAGTTTTTCAAGTATTTTAAGAAGAGAAATAGAATCTTATGAAAGATTATTAGGGATACAGATCTATCAAGATGTCAAGGAAAGCTTCTATTAAAGGGGATCTACTATCTGAAGGATGAGTAGAATTCAGATGTTGAGGAGTGGGGTCACAAAGTCCTTTGGCAGAAGGACAAGAGGTGAGACAAGGCCAGTGTGACTGGAGAGTACACAGAGAGGAAGACAAAGGTGACAATGAAGCAGAAGGTCAAATCATGCTAGTCCTTGTAGGCTATGCAAAAGACCTTGGTCTTTATCTGAAGAACAGTGAGAATTCATTCAGATGGTTTGTTCAAAGCTGGTAAAGTTGGAGTGGGGTGGGGCTAGAGAAACAATTAGATTTGTATTTCGAAAAAGTCCTTTTGCTTTCTATGTGGAGAATTGATTGGAGGGAGCCAGAGAAGAAAGGGGAGACCCAATGTGATTGCATCACACAAGGCAAGAGAAGATGGCAGCTTGGTCTAGGCAGGGAGAGGGGGATGGAAAGTTAGGGGAGAGTAAATAGGACTTGGGTATGGGTTAATAATGTTCATGAAAGATTTCTGGGTTTCAGGGTTGCACACCTACATGGGGATCCCTATCCCCATAGATATAGGAAACACCAGAAGAGGATCAAGTTTGGGGAACAGGTTGGGGGTGGGGGAGGTTGAAGCCATGTGCTTTGGACTTGAAGAGTTTGAGGTGCATTTGAGATTTCTGTGTGGAGTTAGGTATAATGACTACATCTCAGAGAAGACTGGAGATTTTTCATTGGTCATTATTGTTCAAGGTATAGCTCTGGATCCGATGCTAGGGAGAGAGAATGGAGTGAAAATAGAAGAGGGCCATGAGGCACTCCAACA